TATCATAGACAAGAAATATCATACTTCATTTGTATTTAATTACAAATTTCTGACCAAATAAATTTTTGAAATTTAAACATTGATTTTTTAATATTTTATTATTATTTTGTAAATCAGTTTTTGAAAATTCCTCAATCTTAAACTGGTATCCATGATATAGGTAGTTTCATTCTCTCTTCGCAGTCTACAATTTATAAGTAAAAAAATATCTGGAGATTTTTTATATTTTTCTAAATTTTTAAACGTTCAAAAATTACGTACTTTATTGTATTTTTGAGCCCCTGCTAATGAACTTCATCATACGTTTGATGGAAATCAGTCTCACAATTTAAGAAATTTAGAACCTTTGTAAGCAGACAGGATATTGTTTAAGTATTTGTTGATTTTTAGAGCAGCACAAATCCATTATAAATATCTCATAATTAAGCTAAACGTCGTTTAAGTCGATTAAATATCCCAGACACTTTTGTATTCAATCTAACCGCTAAATATATTGATATTTGAAAATCTAGTCACTTAGTTAGGTTAATAGGTTTCTCGATAACGGAGTGCTGATCTCGTAATGATACCTATGTTGGTTCTGTGAAAAAGATTCCTCTCACCTTTTCAGATGTTCAAACCATTTGGTGTATTTAACAAAGTTCGGGAGATTAAAATGTAAACTCTTTAAAGCAATCGGCGAAGAAATTTCCGAGAAATCAATAACGGAAAGCGCAGTGGCAGAAAAGTTATTTGAGAAACAGTCCATCCTTCTACCATGATTTAATACCCCGATTGTTATGCTTATGGAGGAGTAGAAACTTAGTTCCATTCACTTCGATCAATTGCACGTGATTTCACTCTGTCTCAACTGATGTTGTGGTGAAGGCTTGTCTTAACCAATACTTAGCCGAGGAAAGAGGTATTCCTACATCCTGTTGTTTTTATGAATACTTTAGCAAGTTCTTCTGCGTCTAGCATACAATCTGCTATCCATCGTCTAAGTCGAAATTGCCACTTTTAAAACGTGCAAACCACTTTTGGCACGTTCGTTTGGCTAAGTCATGGTCACCATAAACGTCCAGTAAAATACAATGGCTTTCGGTATCACTTTTCTTTATGTTAAAGTAATGAAGAAGAACTCCCCGCAAAAACACTTTATCTGGTATTTCGATATTTTGAAATGAATGAAACAAATTGTTGTTCACGCTAAAACAAATGACATCTACTGAAAACGACGCAAAATGACAGTACCTTTGAAATGAATATAGCCACAGATGTACACGACGCGAAATAATACCAGAAAAGCCCACTCTTAGAAAACCGCACGAATTAATGCATACACCTAATACCACCTGATTTGAAGATAGTCCCAAAAATAATTAAAAAAAATTCAATTTGAATATTTTATAGGTGGCAAGATCAAACATTTCCGAGCAAACACGTTTAGTGTCAAAAAAGTGAAACCACCTTATAGACATATGGACATGAGAAATCACTGTTCTTATATCAACTGCAATATGAGTAAATTTGATTAACTTTTGTGTCTGGTTTCGTATCTAGTTATCTTTGCCACCAGTTCATATAGACTCTTACATACATATAAACATAAATAAAAATATTTCAGACAAATATTGGATTGTATACAATTGTATATTCGTTTGTAAACCAATTGTTATTATTTGCGTAAACGAAACATAATATCATTAAATTAATTGACTCTTGCTGCAAGTGAGATATATATATATATATATACATATATATAGCATACTATCACGATACACTATTAAGATGGGTCATGGTAAGTATAGATGTTTTGAGTCGGTTTTTTTCTCTTTTACTCTTTCTCCTCACAGATTACAGAAGAGCGTTCATGTCTATGATGAATGACGTAGAAATAAAGGTAAAATGTATTTTACTTCGAATTTTCCAAGGATTTTCTGCAGAGACTCGAAAGCAACTCTAGAAGCAGACTAGGATATTACCCAAGAAATGTTTCTCTAAATGGCTTTCCAGCGTAGAAATCTAATGTGTTAAGCAATAGATTACTATGCCTAATTTTCTTGCGAGCATCCTACATAACTGGATCTAACAACATCACTGTGGTCGTGAGCGGTTAATGTAACCGTTGAAGTGTTTTTCAGAAAAGTTAAGAATATTTCTTTCTTCCAAAAAGCCTTACATCTATTATGAAACGCATGCTTCACTGGTTTTTCTGTTGCTCAATAATTGTTGGTGGCAGGTGAATTTCAATTCTTTGGTTGTACTGAAGAACCCTCGTCGGGCAATATTGAGTTATCTCTCTAAAATATTCCGGCCGCATTTTTAAATTATTATGTTCGAGATTTGAGGAAATTAAGAAATTATTAGGGCATTAAGGTGTTCCATATAACCCTGTGTAACTCCATCGTGATCAAACAACGCATAGTTGTTTATTGGAATTACTAAGTTCCATTAAGCTACCATGGTCTTTAGTTTTAATTTATTTCTCAGAAAAGAGTCTACTCTTCTCTTCATCATAATTCATCTCAATGCAATTCAAAGGACTAATGGTAGGAGGGAAAAAAATTATGAATTAAATATATAAGAAAGACCCTACTTTATATACTTAAAAGGTTAAAAAATCTTAATATATGGAATACTTTGCCCTAAGTGTCTAATTAATTCGTTTGAAATTCGGATTCAAAATTTTAGATTTATTTTATAAGCACAAAGCGTCCTTGTAAAATTCAACAACAGATGCCCAAAGCATACTGAATTTTTGGAGTGAACACTACTCCAGCCAGCTAAATGCGAGTGAAAATGACCCTAGTCGTTGCTGGTGAACCAGATTCCTTAACCAATAACGATGAAACAGTTGTTTCTTTGCCTTACCATGAAGACGTTCAAATAGAATTGCCCACTTGGCAGACAATAATGCGACGAAATGCCGGCCGAGTTATTTAAAAACGACGGTAAAGAACTGATTAGGTGAATGCATCAGCTTCCATGCAAATATGGTCGGATGGAAACTTGTTCGACGATTGAAAACTAAATTAAGTGTAAAGTGACCTTCGGCAATACCAAAAGCGTCGTCAGAATCGGAAACGAACTCTCCGAGCCGTTCGATACCAAATGGGGTTTCAGAAAAGAAGTCTTTTTATTGTGTGACGTCTTCAAGGCAGTATTCTGATTTTGTGGCATCAAAAAATGAATTTTTCCTTAAATCTGAATCTAAGAATATACCTTCGAAATTTTAGTTTGAAGCAAAAAAGTTGCATTATTTAAAATCTTTTTTTTCAAATTGTAGGGAAATTTTTGTGAGTGTATTGTTTTAAAATATCGAAAAAATTTAAAATTTTCCAACTTCTTCGGTATTTTTTAGTCAATATAGAAAAAAGAAATTAAAAAAAAAATTGGTTCGACTGATTCATATGCGCAGCACGACCACCGTTTCACGAGTTCAGACTGCAGCCGGTTCAGTATGACTCAACACAACATTGGAAAATTCCAATATTTTTTTATACTAAAAATGGTTCCTTCTCTTTCAAAAAAAATTGCTGAAAAAACGTTTTTTTCACGTTCTAAAGGAAACTTCAATTATAGGCGGGGAAAATAAGTTGTTCCATAGCTGATGTTGGCGCAACCCGTTGATATTAACATCATTGGCCTTAACAACCGCGCTGCGAGTTCTGCTTTGTCCAGACTGAATAAGAAAGCGAAGCGTATTGATCTGGTAGAGATCGAGAGCAAGACGAAATATCTTCTGCCATTAAACAAGCAGTCATCGCATTCGCAATTTGGCTCCCATGTCACTGTTGGCAGTCATAACTATGAAGTTGTAGATATTTTCGTCTATTTTGGATCCAGCATTAACACCAGCTAGCCTAGAAATCCAACGCAGCAACATTCTTGTCAACTGGTAATACTTTGGACTGAGATCGCAATTGAAAAGTAGTCCTCTCTGTACGAAAAACTACCAAAATCTGCAAACCGATCAGCAACAACTGAGGCGGCAGACGAAGTCGGACAAAAAAAGTATTTGAAGACGTTTGTTCAAATAAAATTGCTTGTAATTCCTCAAAAAATTTTCTTTTCTAGAATTAAGAAAGAAAATTCTTATTGAGTGCTTAAAACCAAGTGTGGAGCCTTCCATAAGTGGCAGTTCATGTTCATTATCGGCTTACACATCCATCTACAGATATTACAGTTAAATGTGGCCACTGATCTTTCCTAATGAATAAATGCAGCAGCATACAAATACATATATAATATTATAGTATACATATAAAAATATAACATACACATATGTACGTATAGTATATATATATATATATATATATTTATATGTATTTATGTATGTCTATCTATCTAGTAGAAGCGTAATTTTATTCTTTTCTGGCTGCTATGCAGAAAAATTACTTATGAATTTTAGCATTTTGTTTTTGCTGACACGCATAAAAATAAACATAGAATGTATGTATTTATGTACATCTATATACGTATATACTTATTTTCACAAAATTTACATATTCGCATTAAGAAAAATCAGCTGTTGCCGCTTCTATAACCCTCCAACAAAAGTGTGTGGATCAGTGTTCCAAGTTGTTAGCCGATGCATGGATACTAGTGTTTTTCGCAGGGTCGATGGCCAGCAAAAATAAAAATAATAGCAAAAATTTTGTACTTTTCATACACTTTCTATTTATAAAACGTATTGTGTACTTGCAACTTCGGGTAATGCGCTTGCTGAAACACGAATAATGATCGGCTAACAGTTAGCTGGCAGCAAGAAATGAGTCGACCCAATGCCACATTGCAAAAGAGTACTCCCTTAGGTAATACAATGGACCAAATGCTTTAAGAATTTTCGCAGAGTGTGCTACGAAAAGTCAACCACTGGTATATAATACTATATGTATACCTCCAACAGATATAAAATATATATATTATACACATACATACATATGTCTATTCGTTGCTTATTGTAAGCACCATGGCCACTCAATTGACGCCGCCGCCGGTCGGTCGTTATGGAATTGGCGCTTGGACAATGCCTCAGTTGAAAGGCGAAAGTAATCGAGGGTGTGTCGCGTAGCAAAGAATTGTAGTTTTGAAAAGAACGAAAGCGAATTTATATTGGCAAGAAAATGCCAATTTTCTCAAAATATGCGCTAATGAGAGGTGTGTGTGTTTTCGTGCTTTGAAAAGTGTTGCGTAGTGTTTTAAGAAGAAAAAATATGATAAAAGTATTTTCCAAAACCAATAAAGTTATAAAATTTGTTTGAATTTCACACTGAATTATAGAAGTTGTTGTTCGACAGAGCAAATATAATTTAAAATACATTTATCTACAAATAAAAATATGCTTTTTGTGCACATCATCGGACGATGATATTTTTCGTGAATTTTGCAAAATAACTTTAATTTGATTTATGTACATTTGTTTTGGTAATTTTATTTTATTTTATTTTATTTTATTTTATTTTATTTTATTTTATTTTATTTTATTTTATTTTATTTTATTTTTGTTTATTTATTTATTTATTTTATTTCATTTAATTTTAATAATTTAATTGTGTTATTCAAGCTGTTATTGAGACTAACCCACCCTCATATTGAGATGTGCATTTGGTACACACTTGAATATTTTATCGTTTACATACATAAATGCTCGTATATACACGTGCGGCTACCAATTCAACTTATACGGCTGCAGGAAAAAAGTAATAAAATACAGAAATGCGATAGACAGAAGTTCCTAGTGGATAAGATATTTGAAAACATTTCCATTCCATTTCTTATACATAGATACATACATATGTGTGTAAATATGTCCATCATAAATACAATAACAATTTTTATAATATGTATTTGATATAATTTCAGGCGCTGACAGCTTTCTGCAGAGTCTTCGCCCTTTCTCTTTGTCCAATTGCTTAGCCTCAGCCTCTGCTCCGCGTCCTGCTCTGACCCAATTTCGTGATATTCTCAACAATCAAATAACTGGCATTAAAGATGCTGGCACCTATAAAATGGAACGCGTAATCACCTCCTCGCAGAGTACCGAAATCACTGTGGAGGGTACACAGAAGCGTATACTGAATTTTTGCGCAAATAATTATTTGGGTTTAGCGGTAAGTGTTTATGTGTTTTGAACTAAAAAAATAGCTATATAGGTTAAACCTCTTCATTTTGCCGTCTCTTGGATCAGCATGAGATAACATGAGAGTATTTTTTCAAGTTGCTAAAGAACAAAAACGTGGGAAACAACCTATCGAAAGATAGTTTTACTTTTTAATTTCTGATCGGAGTAAAGTGGCAAATTTAGTAACATTCAGAGCTCTTCTTAATGAAGAACTGTTAAGAGCAAATGCCAATCAGATTTTCTCAAAACACGACGAACCAGAACTTAATTTTTGTAAACGAGGGTATAATCGATAAACAGCAATCTGCCCAGTCAGTGAACCCACTCTGCAAAACAAGACCTACTCACAGAAGCTGATTCTTGCAAACGTCGGTAGAGCTTCGAATACAATAAGTTTTAAACCCAGAAAATATTTCTTAAGTTATTCTTTCCGCTGACACGTTCATATTGTGTGGTATAAGATATGCGTCCGGTACTTTATATTAGCATTTCTTCCAAGTTGCTAAAATTGAGCCACACCACTATCACCTCTCAACTAATTATCTTAACCGGCACTGTGCAGCCAAGAGGGCTCTTCTTTAAACAAATAAACCCAAAAAACTTCCGAACGACTCACACTTTCATTTCCTATATCTGAGAGCACCGTTAATATCACATCCTCATGATCAGATACAAACCGCAACCTTTGGAGAAAAAGCCGAAGAGTTTGTCAAAGAAAAGGCCTGTAAATCTTCCTACGGAATCATCGCGACATCTCTTTAATATTAACTCCCAGCTTTAGATATATTTTTAGTAAACGAAGCTTACGAGTTAGCCAAGCCAGCGACATCTTCTGATAAATCCAAGGAAAAGTAATACTGTCGACGCCAGCAAGCAGATTTGGGCTAAAAATGACAAGTTAAGAACTATGGACCAATAAATTAGTCTAGCTAGAGCATATAAAGACTTGAGGCCACAACGATGGTACATTGGTCCTTTCGGAAGTATGCGTCATAAGTCGGTCTAAGTAAAAAATTAGTCATTTTGGTTGGGAGTGTGCAGCTCTCTCAGATATTGGACATAGAACTGATAGAACCCAACATGTATCAAACCACAAAAGCACACTGGACATAAGTAATTTCATTGAGAGCACAAATTTATTGGAATGGAATGTGATTGAGGGATTCATAGAAAGAGGTTAAATAAAATCCCTACCACTAATTTGGTCCGAGGTTAAAATCTTTTCGGTAGTACCACCTACCAACCAAGATGACGAAATGTGAATATACTTAGTTATTGATTCTAACACCCCTTTCTCAGCATGGTTAAAGACCTTTATTTCTTTCAGAACAACCCCGAAGTTGTGAGTTATAGCAAAGAGTTACTGGATAAATATGGTGCCGGCCTTAGCTCAGTGCGTTTTATTTGCGGCACACAATCGATACACAAGGAGTTGGAAAAGAAGATCTCACAATTCCACGGACGCGAGGACGCCATTCTGTATGCGTCTTGCTTTGACGCAAACGCTGGCATCTTCGAAGCGATACTTACACCCGATGATGCGGTCTTCTCTGATGAATTGAATCACGCATCTATTATCGATGGTATACGCTTGTGTAAGGCACAGAAGCAGCGCTATAAACATCGCGATATGAGTGGTCAGACTGAGTGTTAAGATTAAGGAATTCTAATATGAATTAACTGTATCTTCTTCAACCGCAGATCTCGAAAAGCAACTGCAGTCCTCTACCGCACGCCTTAAGCTCATTGTCACCGATGGCGTCTTCTCAATGGACGGCAATATTGCACCATTGCCGAAAATTGTCGATTTGGCAGCTAAATATGATGCGCTGGTTTTCATAGACGAATGTCATGCGACGGGTTTCTTTGGCGCCACCGGACGTGGTACCGAAGAATACTACAATATGTTGGGCCGCGTTGACATTATCAACTCCACATTGGGTAAAGCGCTTGGTGGCGCTGCTGGCGGTTACACAACTGGTCCTAAGGAGTTAATACGATTACTACGTCAGAAATCACGTCCATATCTCTTCTCGAACTCACTACCGCCACCAGTTGTAGCGACGGGCATTAAAGTTATGGATATGCTCATGCACTCCGATCAATTGTCACAGCGCGTACAGAGCAATACGAAACGTTTCCGCGATGCAATGACGAAGGCTGGCTTTGTTATCGGCGGCGAGAATCATCCGATATGTCCGGTGATGTTGGGCGATGCGCGTCTAGCCTCGATTTTCGCCGATCAAATGCTTTGTAAGTGAAATTAAGCGTCTTTTTCGAAATCTTTATCATTAACTCTTTTTTCATCTCTTTAATACATACAGCGCGTGGCATATACGTGATTGGCTTCAGTTATCCGGTAGTGCCGAAAGGCAAGGCACGCATTCGTGTACAAATATCGGCTGCGCATACAACGGACGACGTTGATCACGCGGTGGCCGCTTTCGTCGATGTCGGCAAGTCACTCAAGGTTATCAAGTGAGGTTGTGGTGAAATGAAGCGTGAGCGGTGATTTATTGTAATCTCTGCCACTATGAGTGGCAATCCTTTTTTTTAATGTACATTTATTATAATTTAATAAATATTTTAATATATATTAAGAAAGAATATAGAAATAAATATTTTTTTGCGGATCAATCTGCTTATAACTGGTCTTGGTTTTCTATCGAATTCACCTTCATCAAAGTAAAAGAATTCAGGATGCAAAAAACATTTCTTTGGCCTATCATTGTTCTATGCGGCAGATGGTGATACCGAATCCCCAATCGATAAAGATGGAAAAGATGTTATAATACCCGACAATGATGAAATCCGACTAGCAATCGCCCGCCTAAAAAACAACAATGCAGTTGGAGCTGACGGCAGAACTATTCAAATACAGCGGAGAAGATAGGATAAGGTGCATGCATCAGCAACTTTGCAGAATGTGGTCGGACGAAAGCATGCCCGATGATGGGAATTTAAGTGTACCCTGCCCAATCCCATAGTCTGCGCCAATTACTGTGGGATAAGCCTCCTAAATATCGCTTTTAAGGCGTATAAGGTCCTGTCGAGCGTATTGTGTGAAAAACTGAAGCCCACCGTCAACAAACCGACTAGACTTTATCATTGTGGCTTTCGACCTGGTGTGCTAACCATTGACCAGATATCCTCCATGTGCGAAATCTTGGAAAACACCCTTGAAAATCGGATCGACACCCACCACCTTTCCATTGATTTTAAAGCCGCCTTCGACAGTACGTTTGAATTTGGTATCCCCGCAATATTTATACAGCTGACGCTAGACAACACCAGAAGCGCAGTCAGAATTGGGAAGGATCTCTCCGAGCCGTACGGTACCAAACGAAATTTCAGACAGGGAGACTCTTTGTCGTGTGATTTTTTCAATTTGATGCTGTAGAGAATAATAAGAGCTGCAGAGCTGAATAGAGATGGTACAATATTCTAAAAGAGTGTACAGCTGCTGGCGGACGCCGATGATATTGACATTATTGGCCTCAACAGCTTCGCCATGAGTTCTGCCTTCTCCAGACGTGATAAGGAAGTGAAGGATATGGTTCTAGTAGTGAACAAGGGCAAGACGAAATATCTCCTGTTATCGAACAAACGTCACTGTTGACAGTCATAACTTTGAAGTCGTAGATAACTTCGTGTATCTTGGAACTAGTATTTGTGATTCACAATTGCTGAATTTCTCTTTAACAGAGAACAACGTTTGAGGGTCCCCATAGCGTTCAACATTTAAAAACATCTATTTAAGGTCGTTCACTTTCTTCGACCTAACGACGAATACTTCATGACTTGTGATTATAGTATCACAATATCTCAAGAGGGTGCTTGAAGAAGAGCAACAATGTTCTTAAGAAACATTGTATTTATACACACATCAATTAAGCTCTCCACCTCAATCTCTCTCCCACTTACGTCAACTTTCTGTCGGAATAACAGAGAATAAAAATTACAAACTCGTAATTACTACCATGATGTTCTCAATATTTATATGTAGGTATTTGGCTACGCAAAGTATCTTATCTGTTCTTATTTGCTATATTCACTCTACGTGAAGGTGAGCGCCCAGCGATCTTTAGCAGTTGATGTTTACTCACGACGAAATGCCCACACTGAACATTTGCTTCCCAACTGTTCTCGACTCTCGCTTGACGGTTGGTTAGTTTGTATTTTTTCTTGTTCGCTCTTCCCTTATTGTACTTGACTGCTTTGTTAGCCGTTTGGCCAAGACCATGGCTATGGCTACGGCTTAAGAAGTGTGGCTACTTCTGTGCTTACAGCGTATGCTAATCGGCTTTCTTTTACCTTTTTTCAGCTCTTTTTATATTTTTTCTTATTTCTTTGCTTGCGCGGTGGCACTATAAATTGCAGGTATCCCGGCATTCCCAGTTTTAGTCTTGCAGTGAGTTTTGTTTTTGAAGGTACAAAGTTAAATAAATTTACACTCTGGCTTAAAGTAGAAGAAGCTACTCTTAAACTGTAAACATGAAGTGGTGCTTAGGTGAGTGCGGACAAAAATTTCAATAATTTTTTTTTAGAGAATTTAATAAATATTTACACCAAGTGTGAAAAAATCGAAATGTATCAATGTGAAATATTCTTTACTCCTTCGCCATTTAGTGACCGCAATTTTCTTAAATTACCTACTGTACCAAGAGGTCGCCGCCAATGTAATACAGGATCGCAATCTTTTCGCCACCGAACTTTTTCAGACAATCGCCAGCGATAAGCAATACGAGAATGTCATTATCTCACCTGTGGCCATACAAACAGCACTCGGTCTGGCTTACTATGGCGCCGATGGCAAAACCGCTACCGAATTGCAGCGTAGCCTCCATGCGCAATCGCAGAGCCGCAACGGTATTGCAAAGAGTTATCACAAACTTTTGCATTCCTTTGTGAAACCGAAAACCACATTAGAGATTGCCAATAAAATCTACGCCAAGGATGAGCTCGTAATCGAACCAGAATTCCGTGAAGCGGCACAAAAGTATTTCGATTCCGATGCGGAGCAATTGGATTTCACTGACGAACCAAAAGCTGTGGATAAGATCAACAAGTGGCTGGCTGAGAAGACCAATGGCAAGATTAAGCATGTTTTGGATAATATAGAGCCTGATATTAATGTGGCGCTGGTGAATGCTATCTACTTCAAGGCCAAGTGGGCGCGTCCCTTCATGGATGATGAAACATCAGATCGTATATTCTATATAAATGATAATGAAACGGTGAAAGTGCCGACAATGTTCGCTGATAATTGGTACAACTATGCCGATTATGAAGAGTTGGATGCCAAGGCGATTGAGTTGTTCTTTGAGAATACCGATTTGCGTATGTGGTTTATATTGCCGAATAAGCGTAACGGTCTTTACGAGTTGGAACAGAAGTTGAAGGGTGTGGACTTTGATGCGTTGGAAAAGCGTTGGGAATGGAACAGTGTAACGGTGAATTTGCCGAAATTCGGTTTTGAATTCGACACTGATTTGAAGCCGTACCTATTGAAGGTAAGAATTTTCGAACATTAAAAAAAAAACTTTTTTAAGATAAATTAAATTTTTTATTAATTAAAAATTTATATTAATTAGTTTATGTGAAATAAATTAATTTAACTGATTATTAATAAATAAATTTGATTTTAGTTTATATAAAACAAATTAATGTTATATTTTTTTAATTAAGTTTTAAACAAAATTTTATAAATAACTGAATGAGAAACAGATATTAATTAGTTTTATTATTAAGTAAATTAAGCTAATTAACTATTAACAATTTAAATGATAAATTAAATTTTATAGCAATTAATTGGAAAAAAGTTTAAATGTGCTAATATAAAATAATTTAAATTAAATACATATATATTACTCACAAATTATAGTTATTAGTATTAATTGAAAATTTATAATTAAATTAATTAGTTTATGTGAAGAAAATTAATTAGGAAATTAAAATTTATAGAAATTTACATTTAGTGTTCGGTATAAATCATTTTTTGAATAATTAACTAATTATTTAAGTTATTAACTAAATATTTGTAACAAACGCTCTCCTCTACAGCTCGGCATCAAGACTATGTTCACTGATGAAGCTGATTTCAGCAACATTTTCCATGAATCGCCTATTAGCACACGCGTCTCACGCGTCCAACACAAGGCCTTTATTGATGTCAATGAAATCGGTTGCGAAGCTGCCGCCGCCAGTGGTAAGTTGAAGTAGAGCAAATTTGTTTCTATTTTAAGTTTATAATTTTACTTTAAGCATTTCTTATTATTAAACAATAGATTTAATACTTTTTTGAAATTATTTTCCTAATGAATTTTTTATATTATATTCAAGGCTCATAATTTTTCATTTTATCATTTATTATATTTTAGTTCCTACTAGTTTTTATAAAATTTTTTTACCAGAATAATTTTATATTTTTTTATTTTTAATATATGTTTATTTATTTTAGAATTTTTTTAAAATATTTATTTAAATTTTTACTTAAATTCAATAATTAATTTTTTTAATCAATGTCATTATATAATACAATAATTTTTTTAAAAAAATTTCAATTTAATTTTTTTTAAAGTGTTACTTCAATTAATTATTTAACATTTAAGTTTCCAATTAAATTTTACAATAATTAATAAGTTCAATGATTTCAAAAATAATTAAAGTTTTTATCTCTTACTTTTTATTAAATAGTTTTTAATAATTTAATTTACTATGTTTTAAAAATTTTTCTTCACTTATGAGACTAAATAAAAATATTTTTTCTATATATAACCAAATTATATTCAAAAAATGTTTGTTATAATGTTTGAATTTAATATTTAATACTTTTATTCTAAATCTTATTACATTACCTTATTTAAAAAAAAAAAAAAATTCTGCACATAATAATATAATTATATTTTTAAAAAATATTTTCTCTTACACTTATATATTTGTTATTTTAAAGAATTTTGAAATTATAATTTAGTATAAAACATTTTTCTTCATTTAAAAATTCGTTAAAAATTTTCAATTTAGTTTAATTTTAGTAAATTTTTTTTTCATTAATTATTATTCATTTTTTGTTATTAACACCACATTTTTTGCATTCAAAAGTTCAGTGTTGTTATTAAATTTATTTTCTCTTATTTTTATATTTTTACTTAAAAAAATTTTCAATTAATGTTTTCTTTACTTCAGAATATATTAAAAACTCTAATTTAAGTTTTTCCATGCATTTTTCCAAAAAAAATTTTATTTTTTTTTTAACATAAAATTAATTTATTATAAAATTAAACAACAAATATAACATATTTTATAGTAAAATTATTCATTAATTATTAAATGATTTTTTCTCTCTTTATTAAAGTTTTGTTAAAAACACATTTTTTCATTTAAAAATTGTATGACATGATATTCATATTTTTCCTGTTTTACATTAATAATTAAATCATTTTTTTCGTTTTTTTATTATTTTTCAATTATCTTTCCGCATTTGCAAATTTATATTAGAATTACTAAAATTTCATTTTTTATATATTTTTTTAATTTAAAATATTTTTATTAATTTTCAATACTTTCTTTTTTATATTTAATTTATTTTTTCTTTTTTTTAAATTTATCCATTTCTTCATCTTTTTCAATTATTTAAATATCTTTTTTTTTAGTTTTTGCTTAGTCTAATAATTATTAATTACTTTAAAATTTACTATTTTTTATATTTTTATTATTTATTATTTCTTCTTTAAGTTGCTGTCGGCGTGCCAATGTCTTTGCCATGGGATCCGAAAACTTTTATTGCCGATCACCCATTCGTTTTCATCATACGTGATCCTCATGCGATTTACTTCACTGGCCACATTGCCAGATTTTAGATTAGGGCCCGGTGAACAAAAGCAGCTTTTAATGTTGCATAAATTTAGCTTTTAAGTGAAAATACATTCATTTGCATTTAAATATTTAATAAATCATAAGAATACAATATTTTACACAATTGTTTTCTTAATGCTATCACCTATTAAAGAAATTGAGTCTATGTAAGTAACCTCAATCTGGTCCCAAAACTCTCGCAAGTTATTGTAATCGAGTTCAAGAGTATGGGCTTGAATAAATAACAGCAGTTTCAGTGGAAGAGGGGGCTAAAGGGTATACATTTTTTTTTTTGTAGACCGACTCTCAGAGAATGGCTTTTAAAGCCTCTCAGTATGCCGTCCTGTTCAACAATACTTGTAAATGATGCTAAATATAGTCAGCGCTGTCGAGTACCCTCTCTATGATGTTCCCAGATGATGGCTTAGTCTCAAAACAATGTCTGTTGGGGTGCTCCCGACAGTACCATCCCAGCATATCTTGCTTACATAGCCTAAAATTATGCTCCTCAACGCGCAGTAAAGATGTTTCGCTGTGCAAGTGCCGATCCGCCGATATCAGTAGGTCTGCTGTCACGATCTTAAGGGCGGTAATATGATATTATTGTAGCTCCTTCATCTGCGTTTCACTGGTCACCGGTGTTCAAAACAAAACAGCATATCTTAAGACCGGTCGGCTTGTATGCTATGTTGCGAGCAATATTTCTTTGTATTCTCAAAAAGGCTTTGAGGATTTTGCTGCGGATCTATACTTTTGCGACAATTGCAGTCGTATGCGCAAGAAAGGCGTACAGGCTGTCTAAGGTGGCTTCCAGGAACTTTTACGACATCGACTTCCACATCAAGTTCGAGCCGGTGCTCCATCCTCCAGCTGGTGAAAAGAGTGGATGAAGATTTAGCAGGTTGTAGAGGTACCTGCCATACTGAGAAGAAGTGGAAAAGATCGGCGGGCTGGCAATTTAATTTTGAACATAAGTCATCAATATCCTGACTAGAGGCAAATATCGAGTAATCATAAATTAAAACAGAAGCTTGGAGAGGACGACAACATCCTCCGGAAGTTTAATCTTACGAAGTTTGATCTCGAGACTCTACAGACTGTTGAACACCGTCCATGAACTATTCGGGTATTTATGGCGTTAAGTGCGTTGTGGTGATATGCTGCTGGGCGAAGATGGTATGTGATGAATGTGAGCAGAAAGGTCTCGATTCGCTACATGGGAGAGGAGAGATATCGGTCGATCAGATTCTACATTGTTGTGGAAACACTTTTATCTGTCTAAGTTTTGATTGAATAGTTGCAGTAGAATAAATTCTTAAATGTTGAGATTCCTTGCCCGCCGTCTGAAGATGGCCAGACTTGGACATTTACGATCAGCTCAGCTGCCTCTTTCTAGCAGTTATGAAGATCACTGGGTTGAGTTACTGTAATAAATTAAATCTTTCACAGTCAAAGTACTGTTAAGTATGCAAATAAAGCACTTTTGCTGTTATATATAGATACCCGAAAACAATTTGAGGCTTTTGAACTTTTGTAATGCTTTAATTTAAATTTTCTTTTCTCGATTTATTTATTTATTTTATTTATTCGTTATTTATTTCGTAGTACTCCACTTTAAGTTAAGCCCAAATTATTATTGAAAAAGCTGGTAAACAATGGATGCGATGTGAATTTAAATGAATGAGTTTGGAGTACGTGTGCGCGCAGACGCACATCCATACAAACATATGTAAGTGGTTTAGTGTTTAGTTTTGTTTGTTTATTTGCCTTCGGTCCTAAAAGATAGAAAACACCAAAAAATATTACTTTTTCAAAAAAGAAAAAAAAGCAAAAAAAAAATTATAATTTTTTTACAAAATGAAAACAGCTTATGAGTTTTCAACTTTATTGCTTGACCCACAAATTATGCCATTTTGTTTTTGCTGTCCCATCGAGTATGAATTTAATTCCATTGATTGCTCGTTTGTTTTTTAAGCGAGCAAATAAAAATCGATAAAATATTTTATGCGAGAATACTGCTGCACACCTGTCACAGCAACAGCAGTAGCAGCGGCGGTAGCGGCACACGCACAGACACACAGTGAACGCTCCAAGTGGAAATAAGAAAATAAAAGCAAAATTAAAAAAATCAAATTTTAAAAATGCGAAAAAATCAACCTGGAACACGGTGGAACAAGTTGGAAATACCAAAAAAGAAAAAGAAAAAAGTTCTTGTTGGTATTCACAGCTGATTGAGCGTCGCTTACGCCCTGCAGTGAGACTTGAGAATTTCTTGCCTTAGACAGGCGCTCACGCGTATTAATCTGTTCCCAGTTTGTTTGCACATTCATGCATACAAACGTTATATGATTGCAGTCTTCTTCATTTCATTCGTTACATATACGACAATTAAATGTAAAAAGGCCCTAACTGCAATTTTTTCGAAACAACTTTCTTGAATATGAATGAATATGTATTCCGAAAACTTATGACAGACATATGTATATGCCTATACGGTCTATACCAATATGATTGATGTGGCTGGGTGTTTTTCAATCCGGAGACAATCAAGCAGCTTGATGAATTTTCTTTTTGATCACCCTGACTTTGAAGATGCAAACAAGTACGCTCAAGGCGCTCATACAAGGAATCAGCGTATCTCGTACTTAGCTTCCGTTGGGGCGTGGGCGCAAAAAGGCAGAATGTTGAAAAACTTAACTTTGCTGTGATTTGTGTCGAGACATTCATCCACCGTTGCGAATACCAGTAGTCGGCGACGGGGTCTCTTTCCTCCGACATCAAATTTGTTTCTTTTAAATGGCCGATGTGGTAAATGACTCAAGGACCTAATCGTCTCCGTCCTCATTCCGTCCATTGCAGTTCTTGAACGGCGGTGATGTCGGCCTTTAGTCTTAGGAGAAGATCAGTCAGCTGGGCAGCGGCACCTTCTCAATTAAGGAATCGGTCTTTCCAGTTGCATGCTCTTAAATCATAGTTTTTAATGCGTTTGCCGTGGTCATCACTAAAAGTGTAATTTTTTCATTGGAATGGGTTTTACTTGCCGTCTGACAAGCGCAGGCTCCAATGTCGCCGAGCAGGGTTAAACTTTGCGCAAACTTATACAGCGAGCCATTTGCTTCAAAACGAGCTCACGGGTCACTAAAAGTGTAATTTTTTCATTGGAATGGGTTTTACTTGCCGTCTGAAAAGCGCAGGCTCCAATGTCGCCGAGCAGGGTTAAACTTTGCGCAAACTTATACAGCGAGCCATTTGCTTCAAAACGAGCTCACGGGTCACTGGCGAATAGGCGCTGGAATTAGGCTTTTACGAACCCTTAAACCGTATATGTCGGAGTGATTTCTCTGAGAAAATATACTCAGCGCTAAGTTGGCCATGCGTTCATGTCTTAGTATTATAAGTTCGCTTAACTCAACCATTATTTATTGTTGGTTCCAACTAAAAATATCTTTAATTTTCTATGTAGCAATGATCTGTAGTTCAAATATCATCAGAATCGATTCTCTGATGAATTTCAATGACATCTGGCGTCTGGGATAGATCAACAAGAAAGAAATTCGTAAGCCGAACACAGTCCAAAGCTGGACAGAAGCTGAGGCATCATTTCTACCTCTTTATTTCTTCTTTTACTCATCCCATACGGAGTGTATTTCGCAAAAGCTTTTCCGAACTCATCTCATCTCAGAATTATTTTCTTTTATTATTTTCATCAAGATAATTATTTTCTTTTAATTTGAGTTAACACAACGTGAGATTGCAGAGTAATAGAGAGAAACTCCTCACGGAATCACACGTTGATACTTTACATAATTTCTTTATACAATGGCCTGTCAATAGTCCTTTCACTTTTGAGATGTCCTGTCTTTAAAAAGAGAGTGTGACGTAAGCTGTTCCGCTCTTGTTTCGGTCATGGTTAAAATGCGGCGGAAAATATTAAAAAGAGAATGATTTCGATCTTATTTGAGTTAATTAGAGCCCGCACAGTGAATTCACAGCGAAAAGCCCCATCCAAGCTTAGGACTACATATTATTTTCAGAGCGAAGGCTCATTGGCACGTACATGCAGGAATTCCTTAAGATTGACTCATGTTTCGCTGATCATTCCCATTTTACTTTATGGTAAAGAAGCGTACGAGTTTACGGTAATTACATTCAATGATTGAAATTGGGAGTATATCAATGAAGGGCTCCGTCGAAAAGTTATGGTTTCTTGCATACATCGACATTGACATATATTTTTTAACCAAGCAGCAGATGTGAGGAGCCCTTAACTCATGTCAGAAATACGCTCGAAGGACTTGATATTCTTTACCGAGGGGCGACCGCAAAACACTCCAGCTCTGATAGTATCGCTGGCAGTACCCGCTCTTATAAGTCAAGGCAGAGGAAGAGCTTCACTTTGGTGGTCTCCATCTGATTTCCCAATTGGCACTGAACATTTAATGACAAAAACGACTATTGATCACTTCGATATAAACTCATAAGCGGTGCCTACACTAAAGAAAAGCTACTATAAATATATTGCAAATTGAAGTAGAACAAAATAAAAAGAAGACGACTTAGTTATGGGCTGTTGGAAAAACACAATGAGTCAATTCAATGGTTTCGCTCAGGTGCTTGATGTCAGGCCCTGAGAAGTGTTAAGTCGATAAATAACCCAGAGCCAGAGCTAAACTAGTCTTAATAGCAGATTTTATTATTTGGTGAACACGTTTTTAATTGCACTGGGTAAATTTTTATTTTTTTAAATAAACAAGTTTTGGGGAGAGCACAACAATATTTTGCTCTCAAACGTACACACACACCTTTCCCCAATACCACTCAACTGCTGTCAATTGGCACTGCGGCGACTCCACGCGCTCATTCAAAAGCATTTGTAATTTGTTTATCTCTCAACGTTACGATTTGTTGATGTGTTCATCGCGTTCATTTTCATTGCGCCAGCAGCACAGTAAGCGCAAACGAAAAGCAGAAGAAGTAGAAGAGTAAACTAGTTGGTAACAGCGACGTCCGTCGTTTAGTTAGCGGCAGAATCAGTAGAATAATAGTGTTTGTAGCAGTCGCTGAGATAAGAGCAGCAGCAGCAACAGCA